AATGTCTTATTAACTAAATCTGTTTGGTTTTCATCTTCTAGTATGCTCTGGGGTTTACAACATACATCTTTTACTTACTACACTTTACCTTCAGATGATAGTATACTACTTCATGTATAGTAGTAGTAGAGCTTTTTGACAGTGTATTTTCATTTTCCTTTCTTCTTTTTTGTGCTGTTATTGTACATTTTACTGCTATGTATGCTATAAAACTCACAATACATCATTACTGATTTTGCTTTAAAGACTCAATTATCTTTTAAAGGAATTAAAAATAAAAAATAGTTAATTATCCATTTATTTTCAATTCTGGAACTCTACATTTATTTGTATAGATCTAAATTTCCATCTGATATCACTTTGGTTCTGCCTGATGACCTATCATTAACATCTCCTTTAGTGCAATTGCAATTCTAGCTGCCCGGTGAATTCTCTTACTTGTTGTCTACCTTATTTTGCCTTTGTTTTCAAAAGGTATTTTCACTGGGTGTAGATTTATTGGTTGGCCTTGTTTTTTAAATACCTTAAAGATGTTACTCTGGCTTTCTGCCTTAAATAGTCCCCAAGTAGAAATCTTCTCTTATTATCATCCTTCCTTGTAGGTTATGGGATGTTTTCCTCTGGCAACTTGTAAGATTTTCTATTTCTCATTTGTTTTCACCATCTTCATCATGATATACATTTCTGTTGGTTCATTTTTTCACTTTTTTATGGTTTATATTTTCCTTATTATGATGGGTGACTTTTTAATTAAATTTGTTATAGTGGGTTGTGGGCTTTTTTTGTTATATTGTTTGAAATAGTATCAAATTGTGTTCTGACAAGCAGTTAAATTACTTGGAATCAGATCTTTGTGAGGTCTGCTTTTAAGCTTTGTTAAGGGCAGAGCCGCCCTTCATCGTAGTTCTTACTTAGTGCTATTCATAATATGACATTTTTCTGTGGATTCTACCTGATGTTCTATGTATTATGGAGGAATTTCTACTCCTGCTGGTGGGAACACAAACTCTTTTCTCCTCTGTGAACTCCAGAGTTTTTCTGCTTCTTCCTTTCCAGTGGTTCTTTCCCAAGTTTGCTATCGTTTCCTCCCACAAATGCACAGATCAGTACTCAAAGACTGGGGAACTCTCTGCAAAACTCAAGAGCTCTCAGAGCAGCTCCCTCCTGTTTGGTAGTTTGTCTTAAAATTCTAGCTATCTTGGCCCCCTGATTTCTGAGCTCCAGCTTTTCAATTGGGGGAGACGGCTGGGCCCTGTCTTGGTTCCCCTTCTCTGCACAGTGTCTGGAACCTGCGCCCAGGCAGTAAGCTGGTGCAATGGTAGGTCTCATCGTGTTTGTTTCCTTTCCCACCTCAGAGTTCACAGTCCTATTTTGCCTCATATTTAACGTTTTAAAACTACTGTGTCATATGTTTCACCCAGTTTTCTAGTTTTCCCTACTATTCCATCATGGCCAGAAGCAGAAATCTCCCAAAGGTATAATTTTTAAGGTAGAAAAAAGTAAACTAGAGTTTACTGTCTATAGAGGTTAAAGCATTTATTTAATAATTACTTCAGGGTCCTGAAAATAATGATTATTTTGAAATTTATTGTTAGACAGCTTTGATAAAAGATAGTGGTTATCCTTTACAACCAACTCATATCAAATGCCATTATACTTTGTAATAACTTAGCCAGATATGTGTGGTGTTAGAAGGGTTAGTTATTAAGCCAATCAAGACACTTTCTAAATGGAGTAAAAGGAAAAAATGCCACACTTAATTTCAAGTCCCAGAAAAGGACAGAAATGATGGTTTCTCTACTTTCACTCTCAGACAAACTATTTAAAAAAAGAAAGAAGTCACTTACTTTATAAGTAGTGGTCACAGGTAACTTGAAGTTCTAGGTCAAGTGTGAACTGCTTCTTTAGTTCAGAAGGTGATACATACACTGCAGAGTGAGGCTGGACAAAGGCTGAGACCGAAAGTGTGGAGAAATCTCTGCTTTCACTGTAATAAAATTCAACAAACATTGGCAATCGCTTCACTTCTGTCTTCAGAAGAAAAAAGAATGCCTGTTTCAATTTCCGCTATCCCCAATCTTTCTTATTTCTGATGTTACTCTAACAGAGTGTAAGCTTTTTATAACACTGGAGCTGGCCCAAATGAAGAGGTCATCAGAAAAAAAGCAGCCTCTTACATGGAGTGGCTAATTCTCCATAAATTCTCAAACTGATAAAGCATATCTGTATACTTGGAACTTACATAGGTAAATTCTGCTTCAAAACAGAAATTCACATTTTGAAATATATCAGTCTTTTGAAAAAGGAATATGACATTTTAATACACATATACATATATATACACACACACGTATATGTATTTGTTTATATATATATTTATATGTGTATGTGTATATTATATATATATATATATATATATATAATCCCTTTTGTCCAGGAAAAAAAAATGCTATAAATTTTTGGTGTGGGTTAGTCAGTAATTTGCTTTCATTTATTTAAGAATGGGTGAGGGGGCAGCAAAACGCAGTGGTAGATATCCGCCTTTAACTTTAGGGATAACAGGTAACTTGTTGGGAATAGAGTAAGGCTTTTCCACCATTAGGCGTGATGGAGATTTTATGTCCAAAAGTAATTCCAGCAAATCCCACATTCTGTAAACTGTCTCCATTCCCTCCAGACACACTTTGAAGCCAAGTACCCATAGATATTTACTTTTAAGTTGGTTTTCCATTATTTCCAACTTTTGTTGAAGAACGTCATTTTCTAATTATAGTAGAGATTTTTAAGATGGTCCAATTCAGTTCACGTCATATCACATTGCACTGTTACAGTTTGTAAATTTATCTCTGCTTTTTCCACATTACCTTCCAACTTTAAACCGGTGGGGCAAATACTTCAAGTTTACCTTAATTCTCTCTTTACTGACTTTAATAGGCTGTAAAATAGTTTAAGATGAACCTCAAAAGGCTTGTCAGGATTCACCAGGTCCTCAGGCTGTGGAATTCTCTGATAGCAAATGCACTTACTATGGTAAATAATCTGAGATCACCCTTCCCTTCTACTCTAAGCTAGGAATGATACATCTGATACTGAGAACCAGGGGACAATAAGAAATTCTGGGCATAGACTATCATAAAAACTTCCTGTACTGAGTTTTGTTGAGAAATCCTCATATGGAACAGGGCTTGGGGGGGGCCATCAGACCTGGATTCAAATCTTAGCATTCTTATTTGCTAGCTGAGACCATGAGCAAGATACTTAACCTCTCTTGAGTCTTGGTTTCCTCATTTGTGACACAGGGAAAAGAATAGTACCTACTTCAAGGGACGTGTGAAGGATTTAATGAGAGCATGCCTGGCACGTAATACTCATATTTAGTGAGTTCTTCCTGGCCAAAGAACTCCGGGGGGGGGGGGGCGGGGGCGCAGGATTACTTGTCCCCTTCTCATTTGAAAGCAGCCCAATAAGACACCAGAGCAAGAGCTTGGCTAAGTAGCGAAGGATGGGGGAGGGGGTGATGGGAGGTAAGGAGCATGTTATAATCAGTCTTCTTTCATTAAGTTGTGTTTCCCTTTCTCCATTCTGTAGGACAGATAGCATATACAGCGTGCTTGCCCAAGTCTGCTCTGAGAGCTTAGTCCATTTTTAAATCCCCTTAAGAACTGCTCACAGCAAAATCAAGCATCTTCCAAAGGGGCAGGAGCCCTGTCCAATGGAATCAACTCAGCAGTGGGCACCGGAGCCCTGGTGGCCAGACCAGTGTGCAAGGGGTGTGTCTGGGCCCTCGAAGGAGCAAACCTCAGACAGGCACAATTAGTGTGTCTTCTTAACTCTCCTTCTAAAGTTATTCGAGGGGACTGTGGTTTTGCCTTGAGCAAAACCCCCTTAACAGCCTGGAATCTAAAAACAAACAACATTATTTTATTAGGTTACCCCAGCAGATGAAAGCAGAGTGTTCCATTTAGACTTTTTGGAGTCAATTAATGCATTAGCTAAAAACAAACCCTTCTGAAAGAGAGTTCCCGTTGTCCTCGGCAGCTTCTAAAGGAAAGCTCGCCACCGTGCTCCTAAGGACACAAACGTCAAGACAGTGAAGAACAGAGAATGAGTTCTAAATAATTAACACTTATTGATAAAAACTGTTTTTTAATGATATAGCTCAACCCTAATGTAACAATAATCTCAAAGGATATGATTTTTTAACTCTTTATTTTTAACCATGACCAGGAAATTTAAATATCATAGTTTATATGAAAGTTCCTGACTCAAAGTAACCAACTAATTAAAACCAATTTAAATAAATAGCTGTAGTTGCTTTAATAAAAGAAGTACTTATGACTTCTAAAGTAACTGAACAATACATAAGACTATAATTGTTTTCAGTTATGGTTTTAACTCCAGCCATTAAAACCACTACTGAAAAGGCCTATAAAATAGGAAAACAATAAGAGATTACTCATTGGGAAAAAAAACCATTTCTCAAAAATCCATCCATCCATCCATCCATCCATACATACATCCATCCATCCATCCATACATACATACATCCAAATAATTAATAAGAGTCTACTAAAAGTTCCAGGCACTATGGAACTAGCATCAAAGCATAGTCCCTACCCTTATGGAGCCCAATCCGGGCTTTCAAGCTGAAGACTGCCACTGTTTTAAAAGAGAAGTGGCAATGCTTTTTGCTGCCTCAGACCTTAAAATGAAACCATTAAACACCCCCTCCCCCACACCGTGGTCCTCATAACATCAAAAACAGAACCCTTTGGTGAGGGTTGGGTTATTCCCAAAAGGTAAAACAAAAGGCACGCCCCCTTTGTGGGCAGTACCATTTGTGGAAAGAACATTTCACTGCTCTTACCAGGGAACGTGTCTTCTAAAAATCTTCGGGAAAATCCACATCCTGAAAGCGTTTGATTACCCTGAATTTAAAACGGGATTTTTGCTCAGTCCAAAGACACAAATTCATCCCCACAAGGATGGCTTCTGCGGTAAAAAGCACATGATGACTCTTAGGGTTTATCTAGAAGGTTGACAAATGGGGCCACAAGACAGAATTCACCAAATTCCATTACTGGAGATTTCCCTGCCTCTACCTGAAGAATTCCAAGGTGCCTTGCCGAATACCTAGCCAGGGGAGGTTACAAAGTTTCAAGCACAATTTGTTCCCGGTTTTTATTCCCTGCTCACTGAGTTATGTGCTGTTAAACATTTCCAGAAGACTGTCAAAATGTAAGCATCCTGAGGTTTACATAGGCCACACCATTAAATAACATATAAGCACAAAATTTTAAACATTGTTTTCCAGCAATGGTAAATATTTTAGCTAAGTAAAAACTGAGGCTTGAAATGCAATAAGCATTTAAATGACTCCTTTCTGTGCCAGAATTCTTATTTTCCCCTGTGCAACCCCGGCTGCTTGGGATTAAGGCGACCCCAGGGAGCACAGCGAATGGTTGTGGGTTATGAGGTGTAGCATGAGCTTGGCGACAGCATGCCACCCAGCCTCAAGAAACCCAGCCACGACTGGAACCCAAGAATCAGTGTGTTCATTCTGTGGTCAGCTCCACATTTTTTCCCCTCCTAGAAAAAAAAAAAGCTGCTACAAAAGTCAGGCCTCTTCCCCAACCCCAAGCAATCATGAGGTGGACCAAGGGCAGAGGGAGACACTCCAGTGCGCTGGCCGGGCAGGGGGGAGGCTGGTCCCCATGGGTGGGAGTTACACAGCTCTCAGTTCCTCAGCATTGAGGAAAAGGAGCAGCTGCAGAAACGGCAGCCACAGCACTGCCAACGTATTGTGCTGTCACTTCAGGAAGAAGAAAAACCCAGAACAAATTTGACGTGGTTTTCACCACACGGTGATTGCAGTTCTATTCAAGGATGTCACAGTCACACCACCCACTGAGCACAACTCAGATGGAAATTAGGCCTCCTTCAAAGTGTCTCAAGTCACTGCCTATCCCTGAACAGAGTAAGCCGAGGATTTTAAAGAAACACAGTCCTGTGGCCCTATCTCCTTTGGCTTCCTGGTACCTCGGGTTTCTCATTTACTAAAGAGAATCGCCCTCAGCTACAGGTACGTCTAAGGGAAACCAAGACACTCTCCCAACAAATGCAGCATCTCTTAAAGAAGCAGGCAGGGCAATGCACCATATCTGAGACGTGGGTCAGTGTTTATACAATGAAAATTTGATCTTCTATAAAATTTCAAGCACGTGAAGAAAAGGAATGCAGTGATTTACACTCGGGGACTTTTCTCCACATTCAAAATACCAAAGCTTGAGTGCTTTGTTATTGTAACACCACCTAAATTTCTAAGACGTATTTGGAGTCTTGTGACTGGTCTTTGAGATTAAAATATAAATACCACTTGTCACTTTGAGCAGGGATTAGGGGTGAGTTCAGGGAGACGGAGGGGTTTCTCTTTGGTGTTTGCCAAACCAAAACCATGAGGGAGCCATGTATGTATGTGTCCTATCTCTGGTGAGAATAACAAAGCTTTTGTTCACTGAAAAAAACAAAACAAAACAGACTCATGGATGGTGTCTACACCTTCCAATTTTGAACAATAACTTTGAATGCCAACGTGCTGATCTACAGCAAGACAGAGACTGAAAAACGGCTGTGCCGTCTGGAGGTGAATTTCGGAGAAACAGAAAGTTCCAACTCACTGCTGATAAGTTACTCAGCAGCCTCCTCAGGAGCATGAGTGCAGCCTAAGGAGAGCCCTAAGGTCTGTTCAAGACTAACACCTTTCCACCAGTCATTACAGCGTTGGCCAAATATTACCAAAGGTCAGACACAGTGGTATATGGTTCTGGTGTGAGGAAGAGTCAGAGAAAATGAGAAAATGCCATTGCCATTTCATACCAGTTTTCACGCCCAACTGCCAGTGAAGCTTTACATTAATTCTCACGATAAGAAACTGTCAAAAGCACCGAGAATGACTAGAACAAGTGTCAGTTTGCTAGGTTCCGCGCTCATCTGGGGTTAAATGTAGTTTCCCTTATTCACGCTGAACGCTGGCGTACCGAAGACAAGGGTACACGTCACCTTGAAAGACGAGGACATATCCGCGCCAATACGAACAAATCGCCCTCAAAATGAAACACAGAGGGTCCAATGATGACAATTATTGCGGTCGTTCGCCACATGACATAACAAGAGCAAACAATTCAGTAGCTTTAAAAATAGTTTATTTCCTTCCTCACAAACACATGAGCCTTCTGACCATTGCTCAAGGCACCACAAATTAAATTAAAACTTACATTGCAATGTATTTTTCTTCCATGATTCAAGATAAAATGGATTTTAAAAGCAAATGGATGCCAATTACAGGGGATTGGGACGGGGCGAGGGTTGGTACCAGTAACAGGGAGGCACGCGTTCCTCTACAGTGTTTATTGAAATAGGCAGCAGTCAGCACATGTGCTTCATATGAGCAGTTCCCCCAAATTAGGAGAGATGCTGCATATCCTGGTTTCTCCATCTAGAGAGTACAGTGCCAACAGTACTTTCGCTAAAGCACAAAATCCTTCTCCCTAGTAGTCTTAGTACCAGTAACAGAATATGATTATTAAACATCTTCAATGTGGTTTTCATTACAAAAAAACATGTTTCACATAAAGGCTTCATAATATAATCCAGAGACAGAATTAGTGCATGCTTAAAATGTGAGGCCAGGCTGACTATTTCTCATAATGTTTTCATTTCTTCCAGTGTTTTTTACTTTCACAAATATGCACCCAGTTTCCTACCAGGTTAAATAGACACGGAACACTTTTGCTCTGAGCACCATGATTCCCTCTCAGTAGCCTCTTTGGGACTATAATCCTAACCCTAAAGAGAATGGTTCTAATTTGTATTCAGACTTGCTTCTTCCTCCAAATCAGTTTAGTGTTGACCAAATCCCAGCAAATGTCAGACACAAAGGTTTGTGAGCAGAGGCCCAAAGAATAATTATGAAAAATTTCACAATGATCTAGGTTATGAAACCACACAGAAAATAAAGGATTTCACCTTATAAAAAGCCTCGACTTGAATTTAAACAGGAGATGGAAGTGAAAGGAATGAAGTGTTGCTTCATTCCAAGCTGGGGCATTCTTCATTGCAGTAACAACAAAGCCACAGCAATCGGGCAAGGTCCTACGGGCCTCTACCAATGGCCTGTGAGGTAGATGTCTTGAAGAGAGGTAGGTAAAGCCCAAATTTGTTTTCAATCCCTGCAAACGTTGCAACTGCCAGTTTGTAGCCCCCAACGTGATCGGGGTTGGGAGCAGGCAGTGTGACCCTGGATTTAGGAACTGGCTCTGCTCCCATGGGCTTCCTAAAAGGAGAGAAAACAGAGCGAGAATCTGAGTTTTTGTTTTGTTTTTTAACTTGGTAAAAACAACGCTCAAAAACTGCTAAAGTCTGGATCAGAGAGGAACTGTGGAATTCTAGTTAGCTGTATATTCCCTTTTGAAATGAGTTTGATAACATGACTTCAGTATTTTCCTACATCTTTTCTACTTCATCATAGGGACTAAACAGACATACCTTTCTCAATGACAACAGAGTATCAGAAGCAGCTGAAATTTAGCAGGATACTTACACTCCTCCAAAATCAACGTAGAACCATCGCTGCAGCAATTCATAGGTCAGCAACGTTACACCAAACTGGGGGGAGGAACGAAACACACGAGCTTTGAAAGAAATGAGAAATAACAGATGCAATTAGATTTTAAAAATTCACCTGATACCAAAGGTCTAGTTAAGAGCAAATTATTTCCATACCGCCAGCTCCTTTCCACAAAGCTTTTGGGCCTTCTTCCCGAAGGATCTTCCTAAAGCAGTCTATCACTCCGCTGTAAGTGGTCTGGCCGGCCCGGGCGGCCACCTGTAATCGAGTCTTGATAACATCAGCGGGGGTCACTAGAGATGCCGCAGGCATACCTGCAGGAAAGACAACACCTTCGCAGTCCGGTCACATTCTCCCTATATAAAAAGAACTGCGCTTTGAACTGCCGGCCGTGGAAAGAAAGTTAAGAATCGGATGAAATCAAATGCCTCTTTGCTGTCCCCTCTGGGAAGCACAGCTGTGACTCTCGTCCGCAGTGAAGGAGGCTCCAACACACCTAGAGGAGCACACGCCTCGTTTCCAGATCACCAACCTCCGTTTGTTACGCTTATATTCTTAAATAGTTTGAAGGAATTATCAAGACGATGACTTCGAGTGGTTGAGAACAAACGGAGAAAAATTTTGTTTGTTTGCTTGTTTTTTCTTTTGCTTTCCTGTGGAAATCAGAGTTACTAGGTCTGAGTTTTCAGAGGTGAAGCTTGTTATCCGGCTCCTCTTCCTGCTTTTCTGGCAGTCACCGGAGGCACCTTGTCACATACACTCAACCACCCCCCACCTTCCAAACCCTCACCTCTTCATTTACATCAGAGAAAGACTTTACTGACAGCTAAACAAACACTGTGTGTGTGTGGGTGTGTGTGTGTGTGTGTGTGTGTGTGTGGAGTGACCTGAAGGGGAGGCGCTCACAGATAACACTTCAGGATTCCTCTTTCCTATGACTGACATCTCCAGAAAACATGACAGGAAGCTTAAAATTTAGATTGGCCGATAATCAATGAAAAAGAAACAACAACAACAAAAAAAAAACCCTCCCAAAATTACCAATGGGAAATTTTTCTACAGTCATTTTATCCAAACCGGGGCAGCCCACGTTTAGATTTTTTAAAAGCGAGACTGTACTCAGAAGACACTGTCTCTTATGGTTTTATTACTTTTCCATTATGAACCTATTCCAAACCAAATTGGTCAAATGCAGATGCATAAATCTCCTTTGCTTTTTTTAAGGCTTAATAATTCTGTAAGAATTTCTGTCCAAACCAACGTGGTCTGGCTCACAACTCCATCTCATCCTTCTAACAGACAGCTTCAAAGTTACAGTGTGTGCGTGTGTGCCCGGGGGAAATCTGCAGAGTACACGTTTGCATTTATATCACTAAGCTGTATCTTTTCCTCTTCCATCTATACTAAGCTCCTCAAACATTCATCTTAACAGTTTTTATAAAATGCATCACGATTTTGCATGTGAGAAAGCTCACTTTATATCCAGTGCTTCACTGGATAAGTCATACTGAATTTCCTATTAGCTTAGAGGAATTATTTCAACTTTGAGCCAGGAATTTATCCTCCAACATAATGGAAGGAAACATGAAAAATGCTTAGAAACCCACTGTGTTCACACCACCAATTTTGTTTCACTTCCTGGTTTAGCAAGAGTTTAGCAAGGCTGTCTGCTTTAGACACGCAATAAAATCCTCCTTACAACGGTGGGCAGGCATGTCAGAGTGTGAATGTGAAAGACATACAAGCAATAAAATGGGTAAAAAGTTTCCTTCAGTTAGGGCAGTTTTCATAAATAGCTACTTGTTATGAAAAAAGAGAGAAGTATTGGGGAGGGCAGGGAGGAAAGACATTGATCAGTGGAATAAAAATGCCAAGAGAAACGTGTAAGATGTTTAGCAAGTTGTCTGGTAAAAAGTGATTGGTGTGTGTGTTGGTGGGGGCGGGGTACTGGAAACATGGCGGCCTGTACACGACTCTCATCCTCTCCACCCCCTGCTCCCACCTCTCCTAGGAGGCCAGCTGCCAGGGCCTCAGAGGGACTGTGGATATCCCTGTGGACAGGGGATTTCTGGTGTGGAGATTTGCTAAATTTACCTGGAGAATAGCATCAGGCTGCTCCAAAGCAAGGCCAGGAAGGCAGCATCTACCAGGAAGAGCTTGGCCACCGGAGATGTGTTGATTTGGGGGAGTCAGGGATGGCAAAGACTCTGAGCCAATTTGCCTGGTCTCTCCCGGCTTGCAAAAGGGTAAAGACAATGCTGAGCAAAGAGGTCAAGTCTTGGGACTTCCCTGGTGGTGCAGTGGTTAAGGTTCCATGCTCCCAACGCAGGGGTCCCAGGTTTGATTCCCAGTCAGGGAACTAGATCCCACACGCATGCCGCAACTAAGAGTTCGCGTGCCACAAATAAGGAGCCCACGTCTCAAGACTAAGACCCAGTGCAACCAAATAACAACAACAACAACAACAACAAAAAGAGGTCAAGTTTTCTCTCTTCCCAAAGATGGGAGAACAAGAGAAGGCTAGGCAACAGGGAGGCAGCTTTTAGGTTCCCAAAGATGGGAGAACAAGAGAAGGCTAGACAACAGGGAGGCAGCTTTTAGGTTCCTCAACAGGAAGGGGACTGCTGCCCAGCTGGTGCTTCAGAGATGAGACAAATGGTGAGACCTTGGGGCCACCTGCTACCTGTGTGACTGGAACAACTTGGGTGTTCTCCAGCCAATAAAAAAAATTATAACTCTTTAAGGGGGTGCCCAGCAGCTAGAGAGTAGAAGGTCATTTACAACAAAAAGAAAGCATGATTGGCAAAACACAGCTTTGGTACAAGGATATGTTGTATAACACAGGGAATACAGCCAATATTTTACAATAACTACAAATGGAATATAACCTTTAAAAATTGTGAATCACTATACTGCACAACAGAAACTTATATAATATTGTACCTCAACTGTACCTCAAAAAAAAAAAAACACACAAAAAAAACCAACCCAGCAAAGACCAATGAACAGATATCATATGACTAAAAATACAACTTTGGGGTAAGTCAGCCTTAATTTTCACAAATATCCCATTAGTATTTGCAAAAAAAAAATGTGCTTCTCTGTTTATGGGACACAGAGTTAATATCTATGTATTTTGGATCAAGGTTAAGTTTGCCAGAATCCCTTTGCCCCCTTATCTATATTATCTACTTGATGTATCAGTTTCTAAGAAAAGTGTAAAGATTTTCATTTAGAAAGAGAAAATATCACATTCTCGTCATACTTTTAACTTGAGGTTTTATAAGACGATATTATGTTGATAATACAGAGAGGCTTCTTAGTGAACTTTATCTTTTCTAAGTGTAAAATATGCCTCTGTGCTTCTGAATGCTATTTTTAAACCCTGAATTCCATTAGTTTGACATTAATATTGCTACACTTGCTTATTGTTGGTATTTGCCTGGTACATATTTTTCAATCCATTCTCTTTCCATCTTTCTATGTCACTGTTTTCTCGAATTTCAGATGACTAGATTTTCTTTCACAACTTGGCTAAAAGTGTTTGTTTTTACTAGCGGCACTGAACGCATTCAGTTGTGGCTCGTAGACTGATTTCTGCCATTCTGGGTTAGTTACGGTTTTTATTTTCTCTGCTTCTAGGTGTTTCCCTTATGATTTCCACCCTTTCCTGACTAATTCAATTTGTCTAAATATCATAAGCGTTTGTTACACAGGTGTGAGTTACAGTGTGTGCAACGAATGAGCACTGACATCTCTGCAAGCTGAGGAGGTGGTGCCCCCTCCCTTTGTCTCCCTTTCTATTACCTGCCTCCCAACGACGCTTCTTGTACAAAAACACATAAGCCAAGGTTAGCAGTCACTCAGACCGACTCTTGGGTTTAACTTTTATCTGCTCTGTTTCATATATCCCACAGTGTCCTCTTTCTTAAGTTCACATTTCATTTTGCCTCCGAGAGGTCTGTGAGGGGTACCTGGGAGTCCTGGCTGGGAGGGACTACCCTGCTTTGGCCTCTGCTCCTGAAGGCAAGTGTGCCTGCTGGGAACGTAACTGCAGATCAAGACCTCCTCTCCTCGGCATTTTGACGGAAGCCAGCACCGCAGATGAGAAGCCAATCTTCCATTACTGATTGGTTTTCTGTCCTCTTTCCCTTATTGCTTCTCCCTGGATAACTCCTATTAAACAGATGTTAGACCTCTCGGATTCATCCTACATATCTCTTAAATTTTCTGTTATTTTTCATCTATGTATTTGTGATCCATATTCTAGAGTTTTTTGTTTGTTTTCTCCCGTGACTTTATTTTCCATGTGTCAAATTTGGTGGTGTTTTGTTTTTTTTTTATGGATTTCTAAGTTTGGCAATCTTTTTATTAACTTTCAAGAAAGCCTCCTTACTGAGTGTTTCTTTCAAATCTGAGGACCCTAATTATAGTTCTTAAAAGTTCTCCTCTGTTTCCTGAATTGCCTGTTTTCTCTGTAATTCTTCTGTTTACTTACCTTATTGCTCCTTGTTGTCTGAGGGGACCCCTGGCTGTCTACTGACATTCAAGTTCAAAGGACAGGCTGACTTGTGCTGTGGACAGCTTTCTACCGCACTCTGGGCCAGCCTCACCCACAGGCCTCTCTCCTGAATGGAGAGAGTTTGTGAAATGGGTGAGGTTCGTAACTGCATGCAGGGGCTAAGATAGGCTGGCAGGGCAGGGACCTTCCAAATCCTGCAATGCGGGGTGCTTCACTCTGTGAGGTAGAAGGAATTATTTTCTACCCCTCTTTGGAAGAGCTGCTATTAGTTCATTTTTTTCTTCTCCCCCTGCATCTGTGGTAAAGGTCTGGAATTACCATTAAGCCTTGCCCTGATTTATTTCAGTTCTTTACAATCACCCTCTCCAGGCAAGTGTTCCCTTCCCTTCAGAATACAGCTCTGGGCTTTTAGCCTCCGTTCAAATGTTGCCTGAAGTTCCATATAGAAAGGAGAAGAGAGAGGAGCAAGCCGACCTTCCTGCAGTAAATGCAGTTCCTTAACTCTTGTTAATTATTTACCCTAAAACCTCCCCCAACACTCAAGGCATTTTATCTATTGTTCACTCTGAGGTTAAAATTATCTGGTTTTGCTCTTAAATTAATAAAAGTAGTTTCTCCTGCCGGTGTTCTGGGCTGTGGCATTTTTCACTTGTTTCAGGTTTTGGTTCCTATCTTCTGAAGGCTGGTGCTAACAAGGAGGTTTTTTTGTTTTGTTTTTTTTTTCGGTACATGGGCCTCTCACTGTTGTGGCCTCTCCCGTTGTGGAGCACAGGCTCCGGATGCGCAGGCTCA